AAACTCCGACGAAACAGTTTGTCACAGCCCCTCGTTTGTTGTCCTCTTCTCCCTCTCTGCCTACGGTTTACCGGGCAGTTCTATTTGACGATATATATATATATGTATGTTCTCATGTTTTTTGCGACAGACAACTGGCCGGTGTGTAATACATCTGAGACAAAATTTGGGCGAGCATGCGCGGGGACATCCTTCGAGTCTTGTGTTTACGGAAGGAGCGAGGCAGGGAAGCATTATGTCGGTATGAAAGGGAGAAGGGAGAGAGAGGAGAGAAGAATTATGTCGGTATGAAAGGGAGAAGGGAGAGAGACGGGAGAAGCATTATGTCGATATGAAAGGGAGAAGGGAGAGAGAGTAGAGAAGCATTATGTGGGTATGAAAGGGAGGGAGCGAGCATGCGCGGGTACATCTTTCGAGTCTTGTGTTTACGGAAGGAGCGAGGCAGGGAAGAATTATGTCGGTATGAAAGGGAGAAGGGAGAGAGAGGAGAGAAGCATTATGTCGGTATGAAAGGGAGAAGGGAGAGAGACGGGAGAAGCATTATGTCGATATGAAAGGGAGAAGGGAGAAAGAGGAGAGAAGCATTATGTGGGTATGAAAGGGAGAAGGGAGAGAGAGAAGAGACACGGCGTGAGGAGCGCTGTGGTCAGGGATTATTATTACAAGGGTGCGGTGGGCAAGATGGGAATTTGTGGAGTGAGTTTGGGAGACAGGAGGATGGAGAAAGGAGGAGAGCAATGCGTGTGTAGGGAGAGTAGGAGAGTGACGTGTGGGTTGGGAGAGGAGGAAGGCAATGCGTGGAAGGAGAATGAGAGCGGGTAGGTAGAAGATTATGGCCAAGAAGAAACAAATGGTAAGGATAAGGATCATGAAAGGAGCTTGCAGAGTAACTGCTGCTGCTGCTGCTGCACCGTGAAAAAAGAAAGAATTAAAAAACAGACGAGCTTGAATAAGAATAAAGAAAATCAATTGGATGCCAATGCCGATTTTTTTTTTTTTTTGTTCCCCTTTTCACTTTTTTCCTTTTTTGGCCAGCTTTCTGATGTACGCAATCGTGGTTTACACTGTTTCCACACACACACAAAAAAGACATCACACACAAAGAAAAGTCCTGTATATCTGCCGGTTCCTGGTTTGCTTGTTTATTTATTCCTTTGGGCTGCAATTTCAGCGATTTGTTGAACCGAAATTGTCAGGTCCTCTTGGTGGGAACCCGGGGCCAAGTCCCACTTACCTGAATCCTCGATTTCTATCCGTAGATTATGAAGATCAACGGAGACAAATGAACAGTCTGCCCATGTGGGACCTGGTCCCCGGTAAGCCCTGCTCATGGATGTCGCGTGTTGACGTCAAGCACCAAGTTCTTTCTGCAATGGTGCTGAGGCGGGCTGAATGTTACGACCGGTATGGCTTCAGATTTTTGAAAACCGGGTCACACCGTTGCTGTGGTAAAGGCATCGGGCTGTTATAGCCGAGGTCACCGTGTCAATTCCGTCTGGCTGCTGAGCGATCACAGGGCTACAATGATAAACTTACTTACAGACAATGGGGTAGTATAGGGCTATAATGATAAACTTACAGACAAAGGGGTATAGTATAGTCGGTGTGAAAAGTTGATTCTGGTGAGGAGCAAACTCTGATGCTTGCCCGTGATAAGCAACTGGACTGCTGCCCCCCGGAATAGATGGGGCCGTGTGTGTGTGTGTGTGTGTGTGTGTGTGTGTGTGTGTGTGTGTGTGTGTGTGTGTGTGTGTGTGTGTGTTTTGCTCTTTAAAAAGATAAGGTGATGTATTTCGATGTTATGAGCATGATTGTTGGACTTCTCAAGAGCTGGATGGATCTGCTGCGCCCCGTAATAGATGGGGCCGTGTGTGTGTGTGTGTGTGTGTGTGTGTGTGTGTGTGTGTGTTTTGCCGTTTAAAAAGAAAAGGTGATGTATTTCGATGTTATGAGCATGATGGTTGGACTTGTCAAGAGCTGGATGGATTGATGAACACAACCTGTGTACTTCATAAATTTTCGGATTGTTTGAATCTCATCCATTGGTTGTTCGTCTTGTCCAGGTGTACAACTTATGCTCAGAGCTGAGTTATGATGCCTCGAATTTCGGTGGGAGGGTGGAAGTTCTCCCTTTTGACGATTACCACGCCCCGCCCCTGTCCTTGGTGAAATTGTTTTGCGAAAGCGTCTCGGAATGGCTTGATAGCGATCCAGAGAATGTTGTCGTCGTGCATTGCAAGGTGAGCCCTGACGTAGAGGATAGATTGCTAGTGGGTTGATCTTTGGTGGGACCTGTGGTGTGTATTTGCAGGCGCGCAGAGCCTGTCAGATGCGCTTACCGTGGCTTGGTTGAGGTCGGACTGGTGGGCAAAAGGCATGGGTTGGGTAGAGTGTGGGTACACCGGGTCATGCATGTACTCCATGCTGGGGTGGGGTGAAATGTCCCTCAAGGGGCTTCACTCTCATCCCAGCTCACTTTTCCAATGGTCAAGTGTTCCACCTCTTTGGTGGAAGGTTACAGGCTCGATTCCTACCTAGTGGGGTGATCGTGGGGCTTTTTCTGTACTTGCAATTGCAAGCTGAGCTCCAGTAGTGTGAATGGATGCCTCCGGCTACTCTTTTCTCCTTGAGCTCTTTCTCTCTCCTTTTGCTCCTTCCTCATGCAGTGAATTGGGGTGTGCGGGTTCCCTTTTAAAGAGATCATGTACGTACGTAGAATTGGATTACTGCTCTGTTTGAACCCTCGTGTGGATGGACGCTGCCTCCTCCTCCTCTTTCTCCTTCTCCTTCATCTCTTCCTCTTCCTCCTTTTCGTCGTCCTTGTCTTCCTCATGCAGTGAGTTGGGCTGTGCGGGCTCCCTTTTAAAGAGATCAGTTAATTATGTAGAATTGGATAACTGCTGTTTGAACCCTCGTGCGCATGGATGCTTCCTCCTCCTCCTCCGTATCTTCCTGTGACTCTCACTCTTTCTCCTCCTTCATGTCCTTGTTTTTCCTCTTCCTCCTGCAATGAATTGCCGTGTGGCTACCTTTTAAAGAGATAAAGAGATTTGGATTACTGCTTACTGTTTTTTGAACGTGAGTTTTTTGCTTGCTTTCCCTACGCTTCTGCTTCCCCTCCAATCCGTTTGTGTCCGTCTTCTTATGCTTGTCGCACGTGTTTTTTTTTTTTTTTTTTTTTTTTTTTTCACACGCTTTGTGTATTATAGAAGCATCTGATCATAAAGCGATATGGCAAAGAAGAGGAAAACGAAAAATGGCGATTGGGATGATCCTCTGTTTTTTTTTTTTTGGTTTTCTTGCTGATGGTCACGGGTTTTGTTTTGTCTGTCGTGTCTGTAGTTTAGGGATTGGCCCAAATTTTCAGGAGGTAGTGGGTGGTTTCAGTAACGAAAATCTTCTTCTTATTTTATTTTATTGTAAAGAAATCCACTCCGGCTGGGGTGAACTGCTGAAATACAGTCCCAAGTTCGAGTCCAGATGCAATCATGATTCCGAATTAACTGGGTTCGGACTCCTCAACGAGGATATCTCAAGGCCGTCGAAAGGGAAAAAAGAAGGAAATGGGCAGAGAAAAAAGAAAAAGAAAAAGAAAAAGAAGGAGAGGGAGAAAAATTGTGTCCCCAAATTACCATGGTTCTTGTTAAGAAACCTATTAATGAGAGAGTGGAGCGTGGTGCCAATCATTGGGTTGGCTAAAGAAAACAATGGCGGAAGGAATTGGCTTGCGCGTGTGTAAGTGATGGCACACAAGCCGGTCTTTTTCCTCCAAAGCAGTTCTTTGCTTTTTGTTTCGTGTTTCTTCGCCCCCCCCGTCTTTTATTATTATTATTATTATTATTTTTTTTAATTTGGACCATTTCTCGATTTATGCGTGTCATCCTTGCGCAGGGGCCCTTTGCTAATCTTCTCTGTATCGTTCCAATTTTAACGGATGTCCCGAAGGACCGCCCCCGTCGTTTTGTTTCCTCCAAAGCCTGTCTTTTCCTCCGAAGGAGTGTGGTGCCAATCATTGGCTTCCTGAAAGAAAATAACGTCTGATTCGAAAGGCTCACAGTTCTTTCTGCTTGCCCAATTCGAAAATTATTTTCGATCCCCCACTTTTCGAGGGAAGGTGTTGTTTTCCCGAAAAAACAAAAAAAGCCCTCTGCTCAAATGCTATGCGACGTACTGCCTACAGGGTGAAGATCAATTCACAACTTGTTAAAAATACAATAAAATCAATTTCATATTTTTCTTCACGGGAATTCTATTGTGTTATGGTCCCCTCTCGATTTTTGTTTTTTGGTGAAAAAGCTCTTTCTCGATTCTATGGGTGATGGATGATTCATGGCCGTTCCTCGTTGGTGGATCGATTTGTCTGGTTAATTGCGGAAAAAAAGAAAAAAAAAGAAAAAAAAAGAAAAAAAAGAAAAAAAAAGAAAAAAAAAAGAAAAAAAAGAAAAAGAAAACAAGAAACAAAGAAAAAAAAGAAAAAGAGAAAAAAAAAGAAAAAAAAAGAAAAAAAAACGAAAAAGAATTCAATCAAAAAACAAAATCATGACCCACTGTGTTGTTGGAAATGCAGGCTGGGAAGGGCAGGACAGGGTTGATGGTATGCTCGTATTTGGTGTACCTTGGGATGACTGCGGAGGAAGCCCTTCGGCACTACGCGACAAGAAGAATGCACAACGGAGAAGGGGTAAGAGCAACGTTATGACCTTCATCAATTTTCCGATTGACGATTTTGTTTTTGCCCTCCTTGCCCGTCCCTTTAGATCTTCACACTTTCACCATCATCGATATACTTGGACTCAGATTGACCCTGCATTTGGATTGAAGGATTCTGACAAGAAGGAAAAAGAAAAAGGAAAACCAGCTCTGGATGATGGTGCAGGACTTCACAGCCACAGATGGTTAGTGGATTAATGTTGTTCTCCTTGCCGCAGGTAACGATTTGTGGTTTGGACACGTCGCCCAATCTGTCATGCTGGTCAGTCTTTGTTGAGGACGTGGTGAGCGTTTGTGTGGAAGAGTCTGTTGCCGAAAGTGGTTGAGTTGTGGTGGAATTTAAAAGCCAGGTTTTCCAGTCCTAAAATAAAAACCAAAAGGTCTGAAAATGGTATATGATCTACTTTTTTTTTCTGTGTCCGCATACTTGTGCATCTGTGTGTGTGTGTGTGTGTGTGTGTGTGCGCGCGATCGTGTGCGTGTGTGCATGTGTTCGCAGGTATCAATGCTACATGGCTTTTGTGCAGGTGTGTATGGCATAGATGAGAAGAGTGCAGCCTCTTGCGCCCCCCCGCCCCCCCCCTTCTTTTTTTCCCCTCCCGCCCCCCACCCTTCCACCCTCGCCTCTGCTCTCCACCCTTCTTTGTCTGTCGAGGTCTTGTTACTTTTAGGGACTTGCGCAATGGAGCAGGCAGCGATTTGAAAGAGGCATTCCTCCTCCGTGACAGATTTCGGATGATGTTCTTCCTTGACAAAAAAATAGGATGATGTTCCTCGTCGATAACCCCATCGTCAAGGCATTTGGTGATCTGACAATACGGGCTTGTGGGTCTGTTTGGTTTGTCCTTGTTTTTACCGTGTCACTGGCCTTGCTGATGCTGACAGATTTCGATTGCAAGTCAGCGACGGTACGTTGGCTACTTCAGTCAGATCCTGTCGAGCCCCCGAAATGGCTGTGCTTTGCCTGAAGTGAAGGTGCCAGAAAAGGTTACACGCAACCTGAGGAGAGTGCGACTCTACGACACGCTGAATGCTGATCGCATAGACTTTATGGTCGCTCAATTAGAAGAGGTAAGTGCCCATAAAGCTTGCTTGTTTGGTTGCTCACTTTTCTTCTCCTTCATTGGTGGACTCTGCGTCTCTTTCTTCAGAATGGAGGACGTATAAAGTTTCTTGCTGCCATTTCTTTTTTTGTCCCCTTTTCTTCGTGATCTTGTGGACGAATAGCGGAGGGAATGCCCTTGCTCTGTGCGCTTCTGGACTTCAGCCGTTGTGCCTGAACTAGCACGTCCTTTGCACATGTTGTTTGTTTAGCCTGCCTTTCGCCTGACCGTGGACAGGCTGAACCTGGGATGGTGGCCTGGGGCAGAGACTCCAGGGTAGGGCAAAAGGCAAGGCAGGACTGCTCAGGTTGGGAGAGTGTGAACGAAGAATACACAGCCTATTTGAGCTGTCGATCATCGATCTGACTGTCCAGTTTGATAGCTGTGATTCTCTTTTGCAGCCGCTGCAGGCCGCTGCCGTGCCTGTGGCGTCTGCACCGGCCTGCAGCCTGCGAGAACGGGCGTACGTTATGTACAGGAGTGCTTCTGGACTTGGTAGCTGTTTAATGCATCTTCTGGAAAGATGTATGGAGTCTGGTCAATTTTTTTAATCGTAGGGCTTTGTGCGCAGGATGTCTGACATAGGACTGTCAGGCTTGTGATCCTTCCCTTGAAAAATAATTTTGGGTCTTTTTAGGTCTTCCTGATGGTCGTGATGTTGGGAGATGTCTGTTGACTTCCAGCTGGCCCGGAGAGAGGCGTAATCTCCCTCCTGATGCATCCTTATAGCTATTATCTTTCCCCGAACAGAATGCCTGGTCATTGTAGCCGTATTTGAGGCAGCTTTCAGTCCAGATGCAGCAATGATGACAGCGCATTCTGTTCGGTTGAAGACGGACGGTGAGCTGGTGCTTTGATGTCTGTGCGGTGGGCTATACCTTTGCCTGTCGGTTGTGTTTTCCCTGTTGTTTCCTTATTGCTGAGAGGTTGTTGGCATTGGTCGCTCGCACTGTGTTGCTGTGATGTGCGACAGTGTGATGGTCAGGTGTATAGTCCAGCATTGAAGATTGGTCAGGGGACGTGCATGGCATTGGCAAAGGGTCAGCACTTTCAAAGAACTGTCAGTCCCCGATACTATTTTTCAGATGTCTATGACGACGACGGTGACTACGATCAAGACTGCGACGAGAGCTGGAGAGTGAAGGGACCGCGCGTAGTTGTACAGATGGACACCGAGAAAGACGTGCATAAAAAGACTTACCTGGACCACTACTTCGAGACTCCGTTGCCGGTACGGTGATGGTTTCCTTGCGTGTTTTGAAGTGTTTTCCTCTTACCTGCTTTTCTTGCCTGTTTTCCTTGTTCGTGTCCCTTCTGGCCGGGTCTCTCTCTCTCTCTCTCTCTCTCTCTCTCTCTCTCTCTCCTGCCTGCTTGCTTTGAATGAGTTTGCTTTGTAAGACGTTGTCTTATCCCGGTCTGTCTGCCAAGTGACTGACTTCTCTCTGGTCCTCTGCTGTTGTCCTCTCCATGCATCCCGTGATTGATGTAGGCAACGTAAGGCAACGTGTTAGTTTGTAGGACACTCTGTTGCTCCTTCCCTAGGTCTCTGACCATTCATCATTGGTTCTATCATCTGATAGAAGACTTTGAATTTGCTTTCTTTGCACGAGTGTGTGTGCTTTTAGGAAGAGTCCTTCAGCTGAGCAGAGAAATCTCTCTCTGCTTGCAAAATGGGCACGGAATATGTTTTAATTTTCAAATGAACGTGGGGGCGGTATTTCTAGTTGGGTAATTTGGGTGAATGAACGTGGATGAATTCCGTTCTTTTTTTTTTCCTTGGCTTTTTCTTTCTTTTTTTCTTAAGTAGAGCGACGGCCTTGAGATATCATCATGGAAGTTACCGGCGCTTGTAATTTACAATTATTTTATTCTGTTCATCTCTAGGCTACCAGAGTGGCCCAGGGCCACTTGCCCGGCCGGGCCAAAAAATAAAATAAAATAAAATGAAATAAAAATAAAATAAAATAAAATAAAATAAAATATAAATATAAATAAAATAAAGTAAAAATAAATAAATAAAAATAAAAATTTTTCAACCGTATTTTTTATTTTAAATATGGTAAAGAATTTCGATGTGAACCTGAGGCAAAAGTTGTTCAGTTTATTTTTCTGCATAACAAGGTTGTTTTTTCGATTTTTTTTTTTTTTTTTTGATTTTTTTTTTTTTTTTGCTAGGACCTTCCCTGGTCCTTGCACGGCCGGGCTGTCCGGGAAAATAGGGTGACCCGGGCGCCGGCCCGGCTGGTAGCCTAGGTTCATCTGACTGCGCCTGGACTCGAACTTCGATCTGTATTTTAAACAGTTCATGGGTGTACCAACTGAGTTAAGCCATGGTCGAATCTTCCTTGCACTCTCTCTTTTTTTTTGGGACCTGCTCAAAACAGTGGTGGAGTGCGATTCCATGCATTGGAACTCCTGGCTGCTTGCTGCCATTGGCGGCATGTCAAATTTGTTGGCTGAGTGTTTTTCTGAAGAAAGCTGGATATCTGTCCATGATTCATGTTTCATAATTTGATTCGATAGCGGTCGAGCAACGGCTGTATATGCCTGGCATTGGCTTGTTGCGAAATCGACCCTGCCTGATCTTGGTCTTGAAATGCAGGTTCGGGGGGATATCCGATTGACCTTCTTTGACAAAAATGGGGGGCGGCTCTTCTACACATGCTTCAACACGGCTTTTCTGGGGAACGGGATTTTGCAGGTGTGTATTATGGAGTGGGCTACATGTCTTGTCACTCTTGTGTGTCATGGGCGCCATCAGAGAAAATGTGTGTGTTTAACATTTGAACGTTGAAGTTCTAATAATGTCATTTGGCATTGCGGAGGGTGAAGGCTGGTGGGATGCATCTGAGGTTATGTTTGCCGCGATTGAGTCAGACGTATTGCCGACTTCGCTGCTTCTACAAAACGTGGAGGGTAAAGGCTGGTGGGGTGGTGTAGGTTGATGGGTCCTCGTGACTCCTCGGAAAAAAGTTTTGTGCTCTTGTCAATATATCATACATGTGCTGGCCAAAGACGATTGTCTGCGTATGTGCATGTAAGATCAAAAAGTTCCATGGTGGCAGTGCCATTCCTGAGAAGCGTTGAATCAATTTCAATTTCGAATGCAATTGAGGCGAGTGTTGTTGCCTGGCACGTCAGCGGGGAAGAGCGGGTCATTCGTGGGAGTGGTATGCACTCGCTGCATTGCTACCAGACTACCCTGTGCTCCCTTTGTCTACTGGTGTGAGACACGGTCGGCAGGGAAGTGCTGATTTAATTCAGTACTATAGTAGTCGTCGACGAGGAATTCAGTACTGGCATGTCAGTGGGAAAGAGTGCCTCGTTTGTTCGGTTGATAGTCCAAGCGTGGAATGTGGTGGCCCTAAATGGTCTTGCATGTGTGTTTGTGCTTTTTATAATCCAAGGCCCCCACCGTGGTGCACTTGTGTTTGTGCGGTTGCCTCTGTTGTGGTATTTGTCTTTGAGCGGTACAAGCATGCAACGGAACAGGAAACACCTCATTTGATGCTTGGGAGGGGATTTTGTTTTCTCCGGGCGTTTATTATGGTTTGGTAGCAATATGTGTAGAGACATTGCGTGGGTAGAATGCCATCACATATCAGTGAATTGCAATGAAGTTGATGGTATGTGGAAAAGGAAGTGATTACCAAGTGTGTAAGGAGGGGCGTTGCGCAAAAGGCATGCATTGTGATTATGGATTTGTTATAGTGACAGTGGGTTTTCGTTGTTTGGCAGCTTTCGAGATCGGAGTTGGATAAGCTGGGAAGGCGTGCAAAGGCGATATGTGGGCCCAGCTTCTGTGTGGAACTTCTTTTTGGGCCTCAGCGCAATACGATGTTGAGGCATGATGATTGCAGCCCTTGAACAAGAAGGGACAATTTCGGCTGAATGTCGTCTTGGTCTTCATCCTCTTTCTAAGCTGGAGCTTTCTGAGAGAGAGAGAGAGAGAGAGAGAGAGAGAGAGGCTGCGGAGGAGCAGCTGCAGGAGAAAGGGGTGGGTACAGTGATTGACTGCCATTTCATCGCCTGTGTCCATGACCGGACAGATGCACCTTCCGCTTGTGATGAGTTAACGTGGAATGTGGCAAGACCAAGGAACAGACCAATTGGGAAACAATAGGAGCTGGTGTTTGTGGATTGAAACTCACGAGTGATAGGATCGGGACAGCTGTACATTGTAGTGGAGGTGGGAGATATATCAGTAGGACGCAAAGAATGGCTTAAAACCTGGATTGGATAGGTGTTTAGTTACAATTCTTGTGCAGATTTAGACAACAAACAAAGTACGGTGAGACAGAGCGTGTGTGTGTGTGTGTGTGTGTGTGAGAGAGAGAGAGAGAGAGAGAGAGAGAGAGAGAGAGAGAGATGTATAAGAGAGTTCTTGACCGTCAGGACTGGACGTGACTTCTTCCTAGGCTGTTGGTGGCCAGCGCTGCTGTGTTCCACGTTCTAGAGAGTAGGAGTTTGAATTAACCGGGGACAAAGGTCAGTAGCATCATCTGTACCTTCTTTTCATCTCCTTATGATGTGGGTAGCTGGTCGGATGTGGCCAATGGTAGGTCTTGTCAAAGCGGCAGGGGGAGGGGGTGGGAGGTTGATCTGGTGTACATGGAGGATTGCTGGGCCATTGCAATGGGGGTACAGTTTTGAATATTGAAGGGATTGGTTTTGATCAAAAAGGCGTATGTCCGGAGAAAGAACATGTTGAAGCTACCAGACCGCCCTTTTGAGGTTGTGACGAAGTGGGTTGGCAAGATTGTGGAGGAGTGGGTCAGCGACTGGCCCAGCTTTGTGGAGCTCGAGCTTTTGGCTTCTGGGGCCGTTGATTGCGTGAACAGAAGGTTTCGGTCTTTTCTCTTGATCTGCATCGAAGTGCTTTAAGAGCATATTTCTTACACATCATCAATTGCGGAGTGTGACGTGCTGGCCATGATCCTGAGTGGAGTTGGTCAGATGGAGATGGATTTCCCGAGACGCGGAGGAGGATTTTCTCGTGTTATGGAAGTGCGCGGTCGAGCGGTTTACCGTCGAAGGGAACCAGAAGGGAAGCGTGTCAGGCAGGAAGGAGGAATGCTGTGCAGTTTCGCTCTTTGGCGTAACTGATGTGAGTGAGATATCCTGGGCATGTTTCGAGTTGTTTGGCGCAGCCAGCTGAAACAGACCTTGACGCAAGTGTGCAAGGCAAGAGGGAATGAAGTCGCTCTCATAACTGGTGCGAGCGATATGTCCAGGGTGGTGGGAACTTTCTTGTCGACAGGCTAGGCACCTTGCTGTAGCTGCCACATGTGCATGTTGCGCAGGGGTAGACGGTCCCCATGGTTGAATCAGGGGCCAGTTATGATGAAGAGGTTGTGTGTGCGTGAGTATTCACGCTGGAGATGGGAAACGGAGTGATGTCGAGTATGTAGGGATTGTTGCAGATCGCCGTATGAACGGTAAAGGAAGAGGATATTGATTACGAGGAAACATGAGCAGGCAGAGTTGGAAAAACAGGAGTTAATTCCAATTAGGCGCACGTAAAGGATGCTGCATGCAGAGGGACATCAGGTGGTGGATGTTCTGAGCTGATGTTTAGTAGGGCTAGGGCGATGTAGTGATTGTGTGAAGACTGAGGGGAGGGGAGGGGAGGGGAGGTGAGGTGGGGTGAGGTTTGAGAAGAGGAGGCATAAAGCATAGCTGTCATCTACTGGGAAGAAGTACGCATGCATCTTTCCTTGAAAAACTTGTGTATTGATGTTTTTTCGTGTCTGTACACACATATCAATCAATAACGAAGTAGTGGCGTCTTGTTTTGATTTTTTAACTTTATTATTATCATTATTATTATCGTTTCCATTTTTTTTTTTTCTCTTCGTTTTTGCGTTCTTCTTTCAATCGCAGGGAGTGTGGTGCTTGACAAGGCGGTGCACTGTGGAGTTGTCTGGTGGACAGTGAGTCTTTTCCCATGGTTGAGAAGTTGTAGGGTTCGCGAACACGAGCGTGGTTGGTTGTAGTGGGAGAGAGAGAGAGACTCAGCTCTTGGTGTTTTAAGTTTTTTAACGGATTAACGGATGGGATCGGTGGCAGCTAACCTAACACCACTGCTGCGAGTCTGCCCGGTGTATTAGCGTCGCACACAGAAGCCATAGGCATCACCGAACAAGAATGAATGTATGGCCTCTGGCTGCAAGAGACGCGTGCGAATTGGCACGCCACACTCTTGCAGTCTTTCCCATTTATTGAAGGAGGTTGTTCCAACACGACTCAGTGGGAAGTCTGTGGTTGGATGCAGACACGAGCACAATCAATGTCGTCGGTTACGTGCTGTGTTTCTCAAAGTGCTCATGGGCTGGAGTTTGATGAACGACAATTGTGAGGGAAGTAGCGGGGTTTACCAGGGGTCTGACTGTACACCAGTAGGTGGATATCATTAGCTCAGCTTACGGATTTGTCTTGATTGGGGCGTGAGCGGTGGTTGGTTGGGTCGGGAACATTGTCTTTCTGGGAGGCATGAAGATTTTGAGGGCTGTGATGGATGCATCGGGAGTTTTCTCTTTCGCTCAGTCCTTCCTGTCGTGGGCCGAGGGCACCGATTAGTTCGAGTGTGGGAGTTGGAAGATGAGGTCGCTTGTAGTTGCTTCAAGCAGAGAGCAATGAGGACAGTGGGTTTGATGTTTGATGTTGGGAGTGATCGATGTGGAGCACAGTGCTGCTTTGGCAGATATGGTGGTTATTGTCATGTTCCAGCGGGTTGCATGGCGAGGGGTGGGATGACATGCCATCGCTGAAGGTGGATACCAGGGGGGAAGAGACTGGCCGCAAAGGGTAGTTGGATGTGCATGCGGTAGTTACTACCCGAGCCACTTTCCTGTTTAACGAGGAAGCAAAGTGCATATGATGCTCGTGTGATTCCTGATCGATTACACAACTGAGCTTTTAGCTGGAAAGCAATCCGTCGATGCGTGTACTGCATCAGGAGCTGCGCGTGTTGCGTCAGGAGTGCGCTCAAAGGATGGCTGTGGGAAGATGAACTGAGCCATTCACAGCTAGTGGGAGTAGCCATAGGATGAACCCTGTTCTGCTTTTGCAGTTATGCCGTAGGCGATGATGATGATGATGATGATGATGATGATGGTCATGATGGTGATGATGATGATGTGCTTGAAATGTTCTCTCAGGTTATGAGATGGGAAAAATTATGTTCCGCGGACTGAAGAACTGGGCACACCAGGAGGCATATAGCAGTTTCAGAAGTATAACTGACCGTTCCAAGCTCTTACGGATTTGGTGAATACCTTTTTATGTCTTGTACGTCAGTGCAAGTGAAGTTGCTGACGTTGTGGATGCACACACACACACACACACACACACACACGCACACACACACACACACACACACACACACACACACACACACACAGAGAGAGAGAGAGAGAGAGAGAGAGAGAGGGAGGAGGAGGAGGATTATAAGGGTTTGCTATTTCAGAGAGTGGTAGTTGTGGGAGGTCTTGAGTGATTGATTTGATTGATTGATTGACATTGATTTGATTGATTGGTGGCATAAATTATCTCCTTGTTCATATCTAACTTGGTCATTCCTAGGGAATAGCCTTGCTGAGTGGGTGCGCGACACAGAGGGGACTCGTTAGGGTGGGTGAGCTTGCCGTGGCTACTCGGTTTGAACTTTGAACTTCAGACTAGTGTCAGAGTTGACATGCTTCCTCAATTCTTTTATAAGTGTTTTGGGCTCCACCTGTTTTGCGGGAAACCACGTCTGGCTTTGACCGTAGCCAGCTGACGTCAGCAGCATTGCTCGACGTGACTGCAATGCTCGCTACTACCTCTCTCATGATCGAGGACTTCTTTATCTTTCATTGCGATAATGTCATGCAGCCACAGCTTGGGCATATGATTTATAGCCAGCCAATGCAAGGGTCCTGCGCGACAGCATACGTCGACAGCATGCATAATCCACTCTCCTCCCTGCCAACGGCACCCCACGTCTTCCAGGTATGTGCATGAGACTGAGGGGTACAGAGGAAGCCATTTCCAGCTGCGGCCGATGCATGCAGGTGACTTGAAGCAAATCCTGAATGAAGGGCCGCCGTTTTCTGCGTTTACGAACGTGCAACGCATCGAAGGTGTGTAAGGGAACGAAGGCAGCCAGTGAGCGGCGGGGGAGCTCAACGGAATTGCTCCAGGCCGGGATCGAATGTCTTCCCTTCTTGTTAATCATTGTGCAATTCTCAGACTCGGACTCGGATTCGGATTCGGACGCGCCAATGGTTTTTTTCTTCATCCCCCCGTTTCTTCATCCCAACGTGGTGTCTTTCACCTCCGGTTATATCTTGATGATGGGCTATCTTCATACTGAATCGAGGAGAGACTCGTTGCGATCGCATCTCTCATTGTAAAGGAAGAATGGTCCGGAAGCTGTGCGGCGGTGGTGGTTTTGACGAATCTGACGATGTTGTATGTTGCGCGACCGCAAGTGTTGTGATTGTGCCGTCTCCTGATCCTGTGCGCTTGGAAACGATAAGTTACTAGCGTTGCCTGTTTCTCATGGTGTGCATCGGGGAGGAGAGGTTTTACGACGATGGACGGATAAGAGCTCAGCTTGCCAAGGGGCTTTGTTTACAGCCATGCAGGACCCCTTGAGGGGTGGCCGGTGTGCAGTGTGTGCCTTCTTTTATGTTAGGCCACCAGGAAGGATGCTACGAGGATGACTTTCGAGGAGGTACACACACATAACAGTGCAGCAATTACTGCACCGTATCTATATTGCGATATGCGGAGGTACATTTGGGAAAAGGAGGGTGCTCACCTCTCACACAGACACGGAGAGAGAGAGAGAGAGAGAGAGAGAGAGAGAGAGAGAGAGAGAGAGAGAGAGTACAAAATGCGATTGATGTTCTTTTCTAGCGCCCGTCACGGTTGTTTGCGTGATGCATGTGACGTTCAGGCGATTGGTAAACAGTGTCTGCAGCAGTGAGTAGATGCGAGTTTTGACATTTGGATGTGGAGGATCACATCAGGAGGGGAGTTATCGGGCACGGATGGCTTGGTGGGAGCCGTGGATCACAATTGTTTCACTACTGATGTTGCGGACTCGGTAGGATTCTGAGCCCTTTGCTGCCTGAGCGGGAGGGGAGAGGGAGTCTAAGCATAAGTTGGAGGTCTTTTTGGGGAGTAGCATTTCCTGACTGATATCTTCTGACAGCTGATTTTATTTCTTGTAGGTTTATTGAACACAAAAATGGTTTCAAAATTGAAAGAGATTTGGTGAAATTTTTGTCACTTTCAGAGATTCAGTGTAGCTGAATACTATGTGGTGGTGAATTGTGTGAGAAACCTCGCCCTCTTACGATGATGAATAGGCTGAATGACCAGGAGCACAGCTTCCCTATGTGTCGTTACATTTTTTTGTTAGTCGTTGTGCTCGGCGTCGTGGGCACCCACTACTCTTTGCAATGTGGTGGTGAATTGTGTGAGAAACCTCGCCCTCTTACGGCATACTCACATGAGCTCTTTTATAAATCTACCGGGCAGCAATGACGGCTATACCTGGATGGATCTGGCCGCAATGACGGCCACAGGACTATATGCCCTTAGAAGCTATTACCCTCTTCTCTCTTTGTCTTCTCCCCTTTGCTGCTTGTGCCTACCGGTGGGCTCTGTTCTTTTGGTTTCTTGCGTACTGGTGGGCGCTGTTCTTTTGCTTTGTCAAGTACCATTTTTTCCAAATGACGAAGGAGCCGATTCTACTATGCTTACTCAGTCGTGCAGGTCGAAAACTGTTCTTTGGAACAACGGGGACTCCCCCACTGCAAGTTAGAAGGGGGAGATTGGATGTCGCGTGTAAAGATTCTTCTTCTTCTTCTTCTTCTTCTTCTTCTTCTTCTTTTTTTATTTTTTTTATTTTTTTTTTAATGGTAAAGATTCTTTAGTCCAGCCTCTACAACAACCTGGGCTTTGAAAAAAAAAGAAAAAAAGAGTGGTAGTAGTACAGTAGTCCTGTGGTACTTTGCTTGTTTTGCGAGTCGTGACTGGACTCTAATTTTGGAACTTGCGTGTTGGATTTGGTGAACGACGTGCAGGTTAGTAGGGGCCTACTCACACTACCGTCTTCCCCCGAACATAACGCACCCTAAAAATGAATGTATACAAGCTATATTTCCGGCCAGATACAGCCAAAAGAAGGGTGTGTTGTGTTTCCGACGGTAGGTGCTCAAAATGGCAGAGTTGCAGAATGAGCGGTCAGATCGAGTGCTCCTCGAAGAAGAGGACTCGATCGGGCCCCTCATTTTGCGATTCTGCGATTTCGAGGGACTAGTGTGATATAGTAGTATACTCTTAGAAGGGAGATTTGAACTCGTGCGTAAGGACTGGGAAATGTACTGTGCTCGTTCGTCGATCGTGACTGGTTTCGAACGTGGAGCCTGTGCTTTGGATTAGGTGAAATAACGTGCATGCTTTGTTTGCCAATGACTAGCCTCAAACTCAGGAGTACTGACATTTGAAACTATTTTTTGTAGAGAGAGAGAGAGAGAGAGAGAGAGAGCATGTGCATCCGACTCATGTTGATGGTTCGCTTTTATAATGACGATGGTTATGAACTGTTTTGTCTTTTTTTTTGGGGGGGGGGTGGGGGGGGGGGGGGGAGGGGGACATATACGAAGAACCTTGTTGTTTGTGGGAAACGGTGACGATGGTTTTATTAATCGTAGTAGTGGATGACACATGTAGGAATATTCGCGTTGGTTCTGGGGATGCTGGTATGGTACCGATCGGCCTGAAGCTTTTTTTCAAATACTGTGATGACTGCATGCGAGGTCTGATAGTATTGATTACTGGATATGCGGTTTTTGTCACGGTAAGCGAGACTGAGGACGTTTTCCACTTCTCCGGAAACCGTACTCGTGGTCAGGTGCATCCAGGCCAGGTCCGAAAAGCGGGCATATGCATCTGGGCAGTACTTTTGATCAGGATTGCTTAAGTACCCGAATCTTGCGCTTGATCTCAACTGAGAGAAGGATCCCAACGTGGAATGACGACGGAAAGAATTCGAAATTGAGAATGCAGTTTCTCAATCTTGGGCTCTTAAGACGTGATGTATTCAATGATAATCAAAGCTGCTCTGGAGAGTAGGGGCTGATTTACCCAAGAAAAAAAAGGAAAAAAAGGGAAAGGAGCATTGTGACAATTTTGTGAATAAATTTCACATATCAAGATCTAGCTGTTGTCCCCCACCTACCTTCTTCCCGCGGACATAACGCATGTGTGTTGTAAAGGAATGCAACGAGTAGGGTACGTTCTATTCGAATACAATGCATATGCTTTCTATTCGAATAGCCTTGAATTTATATTACAACGCATGTGCGTTCTATTCGAATAGTCTTAAATTTCTAATACAACGTATATGCGTTCTATTTGAATAGCCTTAAATTTCGAATACAATGCATATGCGTTCTATTCGAATAGCCTTAAATTTCTAATACAACGCATATGCGTTCTATTCGATTTTTTTTCAAATTTGAGAACTCGAAAACAACACATATGCGTTATGTTCGGGGAATACACAATTATATGTGTCGTGCCAACCAGCCTCTTCTCACTTCATCCGCCCCAACGACGCTTCTACGTCTCTCCTACCCGCTTCTCCTCCAATCGCCTTTCCCTCATCCTTCCTTTTCACAACCGTACACATACTCCCCTCGTATCCATGCCCCACTGCAAATCAGGTGAGGCGGATCCTTATCTATGCGACTTCGCATCCCGACTGTCGATACACCATGGCCCTCAGCCCTCACTGCAAATTAAGCTAGCCGGATCGGCTGTTTTGGATTAACCACTGAGGCCCACTTACGGCAAAGCTTTCTACCATTGGGTACTAAGCCCAAGATGAGGCTGAGTCGGAAGAGAAAACCGGCTATAAGCAGGATAGGGGGAAGGGTGGGAGAAGGCAGAACAAGCCAGCATCCCACACCCCGAGGATCGGTCGTTCACATATCAATGATCCTTCCGTAGGTTCACCTACGAACCCTTGTTATAACTTCCCCTTCCTCTAAATTGTAAGGTGCAATGAACTCCTCATAGCACGCCCAGCGGCAAACTGTTGTGATTATGGTTCACCTACTCCTTCCTCTAAATGGTAAGGTGCAATGAACTTCTCACAACACCCCCAGCGGCAAACCGTCGAGATTATCGCGTTCCAGACATTTCACCGACCATTCAATCGGTAGGAGTGACGGGTTTACAAAAGGCAGGGACGTAATCAGCGCGAGTTGATGATTTACACTGACCATGCAATTGGTAGGAGTCCCCCGAAGATCGGCCGTTCACATGTCAATGGTCCTTCCGCAGGTTCACCTACGAACCCTTGTTACAACTTCTCCTTCCTCTAAATGACAAGGTTTAATGAACTTCTCACAACACCCTCAGCGACAAACTGCGAAGATCATGGTGATCTAGACACTTCACCGGACCATTCAATCGGTAGGAGCGACGGGTGGTCTGTACAAGGCAAGGGCGTAATCAACGCAGGCTGATGACTTACGCTTACCATGCCTTCCTTGTTCAAGATCGATAATTACAACACTCTATCCCCATCCCCATCATAATAAACCTTGAGAAGGTTACCCGGGCTTTCAACTCAGACAACCGACTCGTTGAATTCATCATTCCAGCGCGGTCGCACTTTTCCAATCAGGACACTCTCGGCGGTCGGAAAGACAACAGGTTGTCGCGGTATTTTTGATGATTTCTGCAATAAATAAATGATCAATGCAAACCCTTTCTTGCGTGCGCTCGTCTTCTAGCGAGTCCCTTCAATCGCGGTCTACGCCAGTCCCCGGTCCTTGGAATCTTTCATGTGATTCGGAACAGGAAATGCAATTATGCAATTAGTAAATTAAAATAAAATGCATAGCCCATCATAATTTTCAATTTAGGAATTTTGAGAATTGTGAGATGACTAGCAAAGATCATATCTTCAATCAATGCCAATGAAACAAGATCAAGCCCCACTTGACTCAAAGGCAAAGACAAGATGAATGAGGCAAGGTGATAACTCGTAATAATCTCAGAAGGTACAAGTAAAAAAACATGGCCAGACCTCGTGAAGAGTCCTCACTCTCCTTCTCATGTCTCATAATCAATGACTCGTTTGATGGTGCGATTCGTGAGCTAGTGATGTAAAGCCACATAAGTCCCATGAGTCCGGAGTAGGTTCACCCGAGGACACAGAGTAGGGAGATGTAACTCGAAAAATATCCCTCGCTTGAGATGTCGAAAATCTGAGTATGGAGATATGACTTGGAAATCCCTCGCTTGAGATGTCGAAACTATGACGGTTCAGTCACTGCCTCATAGTCCATCTCTGCTGGTGAGACATACCTTTTGACCATGTCAACCAGATCACCTTTGTAGGAACCATCAATGAGGTAGAAAGGGACCGGTGGCCTAGGGTAGTCAGAGTATAGCTTAGGACCAAAGCCATGATTCAGCTTTACACCCTCTTGAAGCACTCGTGCTCTCTTCTCAACGTACCGAGCTGCTGTAATCCAAACTGAGTGACCCCCTTACATGAAACCAATTGCATTGACATACTGGTAATGGGAAGCATCCTTGGAAGCAATCCTGTTGAGACTAGTCAAGACAGTCTGATGAAATGAGAATGAAGTAATGAAACTCGTGTGCTGAGTAAAGTAGTAGAACTTATTATAATCAAGAATGACAACGAAAATGCTAATAATAATAATTTTTGTGACTGAATGTCACTGATGAAAATATTGATTGATTGATATAGATCTGAGAGTTGACTGATAATAACAAAATGACAATAGATCTCCGTTAAGGAATCACTGATGATGTTTTTGATGGTTGAATGTTGTCGAGTATTCAGTCACTGATTGTTTTTCCAATGACATATAGAGTTACGCAAGTCATTTGAGATACCGGGCCCATTACCTGGCTTCAATTGAGAATCAATTTGAGAATTATTTGAAGAAATTCAGGACAATTAAAGGAGAGGTTGAAAAACTATGAATGACTACTGATCTCTTTTTGAATGCTCAAAACTCCTGAATTCCCAAACAAAACTCTCCAAGAATGTCCAACACTGTCTTATTCCCTGTCGAGCTTTCCCAGGCGTCACACCCCCACCCGGCTAGGTTACAGAGCAACACGACTCGCACCAACTCCGGCCAGCGTCGGCCGAACAGCTACCCATGGTTGTCCCTTGGAATGCCCATCCCAAAGCATCCCCAAATCTCTCTACCAGGCCTCACGCTTTTGCAATCAGCAGGTTACAGGGCAACACCCCAGCACCGACCAGCGTCGTTCTGGCATTGAACAACCGTAAATCCATGAATGTAACAATATCAAACAGCCTAAAGCGAGTTGCTAGAAGTCCCTAGAATCCTAAAACAGTATTTTTTTTTTTATAACCAAAAGCAATGCTATTTGAGGTAAATTTGGAAGACTATCCACCAGCGAAAATCCCAGCGATTGTCTTCAAACACTC